GTTTAGGCCTTAGGGTTTAGGGATTATAGGGTTTAGGGATTAGGGTTTAGGGTTTAGGGCTTTAGGGTTTTAGGGTTTAGGGCTCAGGGCTCGTATCTGGGTGGGAAAAAATATAAACCAAATTTATCGTTTCGTACCAGACTTGCACCTCCGCACGTGGGGGTGGGTTCTGCCTCAGCAGGAGGGTCTACGATCCGATTCGTGACGATTGTTTTTCGCGGATCTTCTAGCAAAGCTGACTGAAAGTATCGCGTGAGCAGGCTGAGAGATACTCCGCGAGACTTGCCTGCTCTGATTGTCGCAAGGGCAGCCTCGCGATGCTGAGGATTTGCTTGCCGGACCACAGTTCGGGCTGCAGTTTCACTTTGCACCCGCTTCTCGCGGGCGCAGAAACCGAGCAAAGCAGCAACCTGCACCTCTAAAAAATATGTGTCCTTGTCACAGCCATGTCGCTTTGCTTCCTCTGCCAATGCGAGGATGCGCTCCACCTTTCGCCCTGCATAGGCGCCCATAACTAGCCTGTAATGGATAATAGTGGCTGATATGTTTGACTGGGCCATCTGCTCCATGAAGAAATCAGCTACAGCCGGGGCTCCAGCAATCATGCAAGCTTTCAGAGCCGATCCCCAGGCCACCTCACCAATCTGGAAGCCGTTGTCTGTCATAAGCTGCAGGAACTCACCAACTCCGGTTACATTGCCGGCCTCCGCCATTGAGTTGATCATCTCACTCAGCAGGAGGTACAGCAACCGAGGGTCACCCGAAACCGCTATGTTGTCACGAGATTCTTCGAAGAGGGCGTAGGCATGTTCATACTGCCCAAGCATGGAGAAAAGTCTTATGGCACAGTTATACGTGATCGAGTTCTTGGGCAGGCCCCTCTCACACATGTCCCAGAACATGCGCTGCCCATCTGCATACCGGCCACACCGAAAGGCGGCATGCATCATCGCGTTGCACAGAGGCGTCTTCAGGCGAGACGAGGAATCCCAAGCAGCTTTGGCCCTGTACCAGTCGAGCTTGTCCGACGCAGTAGAGATCATGCTCAACGACTTGATGTCTGCCTTGGAAAGACTGTGGTCGTCCCAGCCAATTTCTGCCACTGGCATCCGACGCAGCAGTCCTTCTCTTCGTGCCTCATCTTCCATGTACTTGTTCACGCCTCGGCGTCCTACAAAGACGATCTCCCGCATCTGCAGCCGGGCCAGCATCAACGCTGCAAGCATCCATATCAGGCGATGCCTGCGGCTCCAAACAATCTGCTGCAGAAGCACAAAACCCATGTTGCGCACCAGGAGCCAAACGCTGCAGGCTTCCCCGATTCTACGCCATGGACCTCCACGAACACTGCACGACTACACGACCTCTCTGCACTACTTATCGTTGGCGCACAGCTCGCAAGCGCAGCCAGCATTTCCGGATGCTGGTCACTTCTCACTGAACATGCTGCTGCTTCCCTCTCCACGTTCACGATGATTCTGATTCTGTGCGTAGCCGTGGCTGCAACTGTTGCATGCTGGCAGTATGGCATATACAAAGTACTATACTATACTATAAAAGACTCATTATGATCACTCTTGGCTGCGACACACTCACTGGGCCTCAAGGAATCTCGAGCAGTCCGCGCGGCTCAGATCTCCAAGAACCTCGGGGGAGCTTAGGGCTGCCGTTGGGCTAGCTCAAAGGCTGTGGGTGATGAGAGCTTCACGAGAGTTTAGGGTTTAGGATTTGGGGTTTTGGTTCAGGGTAAGTTAACGGCCGAGGTGTCGTGCTCGAAGACCTTGGCTGAGTTGGGTGCTCGACGGCGGTTGGCTGTCTGCCAAAAGCAAGAACTGCAGTGAAAATGGCGAGTTCGAGATGATGTGCAGGTTCCTGAAGAACCACAGAGAGAACAAAAGCCTTGATACCGTCGCGGATATCAGGTTGGTCGTAATCTTAAGCCCATCAGTTATTGACTAGCGAGCCTTTATCGTCCGATAATGCCTCAGCATGGAGCAACAGCAGGCTGAAAATGATGATGATCGCGGAAGGCACGGGTTGAAATTTAAATCTCTTCCCCCCTAAAGCCTATATACCCTAAACTCCTATACCCCAAACTCCTAAAATCTACACAGAGCTCTTTGCTTCCACGCTGCTGACTGACCCCGGCGTGCTTCGTTGCTCTGCACGGCCGCAGCGCCTTGGCCAAGGTCGGGCAGAAAACCCCGAAGCAGTAATTGTAATGTAGGGGCCTTACTAATTCGAATAGGGTTTTGGGGGTTCCCTATTATGATCATAGTATTTTTTTCCCCCAAACCCTATTCTTATTGTTAAGGCCGCTATATTACTCCCAGGCGACGTCGTCGACGACGACTGTGACGACCAAGACCACTAGGACTACGACTACGAGCAAAACGATCGGCACAACCACGACGCCGATGACCAGAACGACGTCGGCCATCGTTTTGCGAGGATGAAGAATGTTAGGGATTATTACTACGATAATGACTTCGACTCCACGACGACAGCCACAACGACGGCGACGACGACGAAGAAGCCATGTCGGGCTGTCACTAGGACGGGTCTCACTGACGGGAAATGAGGAGCGCAGCATGCAAAGCCCTTCCAACCCTCACTTGAAATTACCGACCCCGTAAAGCGAGAACGATCACAAGCCTAGCCAGAGCTCCTCCATACACCACGCTGAAGGTCAAACCTTGTAATGCAAGGGCGCAGGCAAGAAATGATGAAGTCTTGGTGCTGCATGGTAGGGTTCTTTCTCTTGGAACGGTGCGCCGGTGAAGCAGCTGTAACATTAGCCAATGTGTCGATTGTTTCGTTAGCCATCTTGCTCCGAGACGCCTGCGGCCAGTACGGCAGCCAGCCAGGCCGCGCGCATGTTGGGCTGGTGAGCCCAGGCGGCTGCAGAGAGAGAGCTGCCCCGGCGGGTGCAGGGAGTCCGACGACGACGACGACGACGAACTACGGCTACCGTACAGTAGCCACTGTTACAACGCCTCTCGCTGTGGCTATTTGTGAAGAGGCATTGCGCTCGCACAAAGCAAAAGCTTCTGCAATCCAATCGGGTCGCGACATGCAAGCGTCTGGTCGTTACGCTGCAGGAATCTAGGAATGTGCCGGACCTACCTTCAATCCTCTCATGTGCGGCTGTTCAGCTTGGCTTTGTCCCGGAACGTCCCTAGCTAAGAATTTTTAAGAGGCTTTGCGACAACAGGAAGCAACGAGTTCAAGCGGATGCACGCCGTCATCTGACGGCTGATCCCGACCCTTGGAGTCTAGGAGGCCCACTGAAGAGAGAAGATGTCTCCAAGTTCCCGGCGTCGATGTTTCGGAGCTTAAGTCTGTGGGGGACCCTAAACCCTAAACCCTAAACCTTAAACCGTGACAGAGGCGGTGACGGGCGTGCGATTTTGCGACTTTTTGCCAGGAGGGCTAGCGCCTTCCACGGCCGCGGCCACCTTGGAGGTATGATGCAGCCAGGCCTTCCAAAAACCCTAAAATAATGGAAGATATACCCTAAACTATAGTAACTAGAGCAGAGGTCCCCAAGATGAATTAAGGTCTCTCTCCCTTCATTAAGGGGTTTTGGAAGGTCTGGGCAGCTACCCGGTCGGGGCTGTCCTTTGGGACCATCGGGTCAAGGTCTTATGCCATTATGCAGCGGGCCCTGACGCAGAAACCGGTCTTTTCCAAGGCAATTGGAGTGGGAAGTGGGAAGTTGACCCTTCATAAACCCTAACACCCTAAACCTGAAACCAATCTGCAAATCCAAATCCAGGCAGAAGCTCAGCGCCGAACGACCACGGACGGCCTTCAAGCCCGTCACCTAAGCTCAGAACAAATGCACCATCTAGTGCTGAAGAAGGCTCCTCTTTCGGTCTTGAGGTGTAGGTCGTCGTGACAGGTCAGCAGGGGTGTAGGAGGGAGAGTGAGGTTTGAGGGCTTAGGGTTGGGTTCGAGGCTGACGATTCTGCGTTGGATTTCCAAGCAAGCCGACATTGAGATGCCGCCTCGGTGCATTGAGTGCCTGTCCCTGCCATGGAAGCTCTGCAGCTGAATAGTTTCGGCTCAAGATATAAGCCTAAACCCTACACTAATACAAACCTAAACCCCGGAAGCCCTAGAACCGATAGAGGCAGCTCAACTGCGAAGGTACTCAGATCGCTGCAGGAGCCTCCGAGGGCCACTTCCCACTTCATTTGTGCTCGTTCTTAGGAGGGCTAGGGTTTAGGGTTTAGGGCTGACTTCTCTTTTCTGTTGGTCCAGAGTCTGGTGCCACGACTAAGGCGTGTTGAGTTTCGGCATGTCTTTCTCCTGACAGGCCGCCTGCAGTTTTGGAGAATACCAAAAATGCCTTAATGATTAGAATAGGGGTTTTGCTGCATATTATGCTATAATGCTAATCAGGAACCCCCACTGCATCCCTTGCCGAAGCCTGACTTCGAAATGCAACTCGCTGACACTCAGTGCGACCAAATGACGAGTTCGGCTTCACGAGCAGTTTCTGCACACAGCCTTGGGCAGGCCATGAGCTATGAGCTGCGTACAATCAGCTTGGCGGAGATTACTGCTCTCGTCCGGCCGAATCTTGTACAAGACTAGGTGGCTAGTATTTGGTGTTGCGCTGAAGGAATTGAAAGACGCCCCTCCGATGCACTCGCAGCTCCGACTAGAACCTCCTGATGACACGAGCTGAGCCGCTGTTGAAGCTCGGAAAGTTTGCTGGTCGGACCTGGGCACGGGTGCTGCAGTATTTGGCGCCATGCACCCACGAGCAGCAGCAGAACTGTTTCAAACCAAACCCGAGGCCTCAATGCCGACAAAATGGCACCTTTACCGGTCACGTGCTGCCTCTAAGCCTTGCGATGTCGTGCCACAGGCAGCTCCACTTCTGAAAGCCTTGACTTTATGCGCCGAGCACTCAAGCCTGCCTTATGCAGTTTGCAAACGGAGGAATTCAGTTAACCGATTTGGGGAATCGGAGCTTCTAACCCCTAAACCCTAAATCCTAAACTCTAAGCCCTAAACCCTACTCCCTAAACCCTAAGCCCTAAACCCTACTCCCTAAACCCTACTCCCTAAACCCTAAACCCCAAGCCCTAAACTTAAACCCTACTCCCTAAACCCTAAACCCTAAGCTCTAAACCCTACTCCCTAAACCCTAAACCCTAACACTGGATCTCCAAGTCTCCCTCAGGCCCAGGGTTTCACGACTTTGGGGTTTTCCTGCTTTCGGATCTAGATGTAGCCATGTGGTAACCGTTTAGCGTTTAGGGTTTAGGCTTTAGTGTTTAGGGTTTAAGGCTTAGGGTTTCGGGCCCAGGGCTTAGGGTTTAGGGTTTAGGGCTTAGGGTAGGAGGCTCCTCCACTCCGGGTTATGCCCGACACAGCCCTATGCGCAAAGGGCCTCCAGGATCTATGCGCATATAGGCACGTGGCGGATCAGAGTTATCTGGCTTGCACATGCTTTTTATGCGAGATGCCGTAATTATCCATATGGCCAACCCCCTTAACCGCCATAAATCCCAAAGATCCTAAACCCTGAAACCCCAACGCCGAAAACCCTAAACCCTAAACCCGAACCCCTAAACCCTAAACCCTATAATCCCTAAGCCCTAAACCCTATAATCCTTAAACCCTAAACCCTAATAAACAACACCTTCCACTTTCAAGCGCCGGTGACGAAGCCTCCGGCCTTGAGCCGCGGCGTCCGCATAGCCACCACCGGCGGCCTCTTCCTTCGCCTTCTTTCCGAGGGGTTTAGGGGTTTAGGGGTTTAGGGGTTTAGGGTTTAGGGTTCTTTCTGGGGGTTTAGGGTTCAGGGTTTAGGGTTTAGGGTTGGGGCTTCAGGGATCAGGGTTTAGGGTTGGGGGTTTGGGGATCGGGGTTTAGGGTTTAGCGTTTGGGGCTTAGGGGTTTCGGTTTGGGGTGTTTAAGCGGCTGAAGCGGGGATTGGGGTCTTGCGGCTTTCAGGCTTTAGAACTGTAGGGAGCTGGGTGTAGGGGGTCTTGTGGCGGAGGGGCTTCAGGTTGAGGATTGGCAACTAATATCGGGGCCAAAATAAGTAGAATAGGGTTTTGGGGTATGTATTTTTCTATAGTTACAGTAAGGAACCCCCAAAAGTGTACAGGTAATTATGAAGGCCCCTATATTAAGTATGGGACAATGTCACTCTACAGCGGCATGGCAGCCGCACAGCAGAGACATCTGAGCCACGGTCAAGACGCTAGCCGAGCAGGTTTACGAACGAGCTAAAGCTACCCTAGCCGACTAGGTTCCTATT